ACAATCATGACAGGCTACAAAACGGTCATATTCGTTTTGCAGGAGTACTATTCAGGGTAGGAAGCCCCCCGATTCAACTGCTTTTCAATTCTGTCCTAAAATATGCAATGGTTGACTAACATGCACAGATTTTCGTCCATCTGCCATAATTCATTCTCAGAAATCTTCATGAAGTGGATTTTTCCTCAGTCGATATTTATATTTGTGCCATTTTACTTGACCAGCCTATTTGGAAATCACCTTTTGAGTCTGGCCAGTGGCTTATCTGTCGAGAAGGCTTTGTAGTTATAGACACATGTTGAGACTTAAGGGTGTTGATGAGAATTAGCCTCAAATTTGTAGGCTCTGATAGCTGAGGAATGAATAAAGCATTTTTTGGCGGCTTAATCAATGTCCGCGAATAAAGGATTGAGCGCAGTACACTGTGGACAACATTTGCCGTCGACTTCTAAATAGACATTCCGGTTGATAAACGACGGCTGAATGCCATCCTTTATTTCTGCCAACGTATTTTGGTATCGACTTTCCACAGATTCAGGAAATAAAAGATGAAAAGGGAATGAGATGCCATACAAATAGACAACCAAGCGTCCGCCATCGAACAAGGTCGCTGGGAGGTGTTATGTACTAACAGTTTTCATTCACGAAGTTTGCCTATTAGCTATGGATTCCACTAAAACCTTTGATGATAACGTTATTGAACGATGATCGCGGGGATTCGGGACAGAAACGTGTCGACTTTGTCGACGAATACTTTGGCAGACTCCATGACATTGATGTATGCTATCAGTAACTGACCTTAATATGTTCGCTGATGTGTTACTAAAATACGCATAATAATATTTGCACTGAGATTCGATGATTGCCCTATGTCGACAGTTCAGATCTATCCTATTTCCACGTATCCTAGAGCATGTTCCATATTGGTATAGTTGGTATTGTAACGAAGTCAGCTCAGTCGATGTGGACTGTGTCGTCTTCCACTACTGCGATGGTGCACTCTAGCGAGGTACCAGCGCGGAACTCACACACACACACACACAGAGTGAAGTGGGGCATGCGAGGCCACCAATATCGCAAGTTAACAAACTGTGTCAGGTCGTATTCTTGCTAGTTCTCCATTCATCCTCAGGAACAAGAAGTGTACGATTGAGGTGAAGCGTAAGTAGCAATGTCGGCCTGGCCGCCTTTGATGGAGTTATTCTAGTTTTGCAGGGACGCTCTGTTGCGATGCCTTACATCAATAGAGCATATAACAAAGTCACAATAAGTTAGATAAACTAAATCTATCCACAGCTATGAATTTGTTATTTTAACAGTTAACAACCCATTAGAACGTAGCTCAGGGGCGAAGTTGTTGATAGCGAGGACATACATCTCGACTCTTGCCAAAATCATTGCAATATAGTAAATATCGATTTCGTCAACGAATCCAAAGTACTTTTCGTACTTTCTTAATCCGGCTTCAACAGCTCTTACCAACATAGGGTCAGTAGCTTTGATACAGTCCGTCATTGTTCTTCGCATGAACTCTTCTAACTCTTAGTACAAGGCTATCGACAGACTTAGCTGAGGCTTAGCCTTCGAGACCAACCGGGTAAACTCGTCAAACTTGGCGAGTATAGTCTTTAATTGTCGAAGTTGATTCCAATCTTTCGCTGTGGCTTCAACTACCATGAAGCGCTCATGAAAGCGGACATGCTCTCTTGAACCAATGGAAGTCTATTGATTTGACTCTGTTTAGACTTAGCCTGTACGCAGATCTACTTCCAAATCATTGTGGATTGCTCGACAGAATGTTCAACGGAAGCAGTTTTACGTCAGTTGGGAGAGCATTAGACTGAAGTCCACTGAAATTCAATCCTCTTAATCTAAAGATCGCTTGTTCGATCCAGAGAAGCTGCATTATCCTTGTTCTCTCTTCTATGCAGAGTTTGCAAAGGCTTCGCGTGCGTGCATAAGTGCCAACATTCAAATAATTTCAGAAACAATTCTCGATGTTTATTACTGTGCAGTTCAAATTTGTGAATCCAGTGCTGTGGCCGGGAGCCAGAAGCGGCGGGCTCTGTTCCCGAAAGTCAGAATCGAAAACCTACAGCAAACCTCGCGTATTTGTATACCTTATACCTCAAGATCTCAAGATATTATGTAGCCCGACATTATTAAAACACATTTAATCATAAAGTTGCATAAAATTTCCAATCTCCCAACGTAAAAACAGGATCTTCACCCGTAAGCTCCGTTCATTATACTCTCTTATCTACCACGGTAATTCGAGAGGGATTGGCAGATCTTTCCCCAACACAACATCTGCTGTACCAATGTCCCTATACGAAAGTACAAACCGTTAGAGATTGTTTTGTTATACCTTTGTCCTTCTCTTGGAAAAGAACTCGCGGATTCTGGGTCCGCTTCACAGGAACTTTCGCATGCGACATACCTCGGACCTCTCGGAGCCCAGTATTGACCCGTCTTGCTGAGATCAAAGTCGTCGATGAAAGAGGCGAGTGACTCAGTCGCTTCATCGGGTGTCACAGCTGCGCAAAATCATGGCATTAGCTCCGAAGTATGCAAAATGAGAACAAAGCGCATCCCCAATTTCCTGACCGCTATATGCCCCAATCATCCAGGTCCGAAATCGTATATACATAGCTTACCTCCGCCATCATCCCAATACTTGTCAAACCCCACACTCCTCGTCATATCCGTCCGCATAAATCCCGGATGCACCAATCCCACAGCAACACCTTTCTCCCTCAGATCCAAACTGAGCAGTTTGCCAACCATATTGAGCGCCGCCTTGCTGGCATGATGGCCATAGTTGCCTCCTCCCTCCTTCTCGTGGCGCAGCGTGATGCTTCCGCTCTCGCTGCTGACGAGGATCACTTTGCTCCTCTGACCCAGGAAGCCCCCCTTCACGAGATGGTGGACTATGAAGACAGGCCCGATGGCGGAAGTGGTGTACATTTGGAGTTCTTTTTCCCAGTCTGGGTCGTCGAAGGTCTCAATGCCAAAATATCCGGCTGAGATGATGGCCGTGGATAGTTTCGTCGATGACGGGAGTTGCGAGATGAGTTTCTGACCCACGTCAGGAGACGCGATGTCGATGTCGACGAGCCAGTATACGTTCTTGCTGTTGAAACTGGGGCTGCTGGGAGGAGTGCTGGACCGTGTCGTCGCGAAGACGGTGGTGAATGGTTTGGATGCATACAGTTTTGTGAGAGAGGCTCCTAGGCCTCTTGTTGCGCCGAGGATCAGAACGCTGACTGTCATCTTCGCCTGAGCGTAGCTAGATATGAATGTGGAAGTGTTGAGTTTACTTACCTAAAGATTTATATCGGGTCGGTTCGCTGTTAAACGTGATGAACTTCTGATGAGTATAAGGAAATCGGGTCGAGGAATAGTGCGTTGCACGTGCCAGCTGCTATACGTCACAGTAAATGTCGTGGTGAGAATTTCGGCACTCACCTAACCCTATCATTCTCCCTTGGACTAAACTGGCTCTCATCTCGACGTCAATGCGTCTTCGATTAATTCTCACAAAACATGGTTAGCAAGATTCTCAACAAATATCAAATTCCACGCCGAGACTAAACCCATCCATATAGGTAGAAACGCGCGCTGGCTCTAAACGCAAACGCTCATCTACAGGCGACTATGCGACAGACTTCGCTTGATACTATTCAGGCAGAGAGCTATAACAAACTAGTAAGGTTCAGAGTATCAATCGCCGAATTTCTTCGGAGATCAGGGCATCATTCGCCGGCTGTTATTTCGGTGTTTAATAAGTCTACGTCGGCTCAGAGCATTCGTCAACTGCAACGCTGTGCAAGCTCCAGAACTCTTCTAAGGTTTAGAAGTAGGGATCGGCACCGATAATATCCAGGCCGATTTTGCTTTATCCATATCCGTATCCGTATCCGTGTAAAATGCTTGTATCCGTAATATCCACGGATAATGCGGATACGACTAATCAATATAGGGCTTAATTGGAATGAAAACATCTATGATCCAGCAGTCAATAAGAAGGGACTGTAATTCGCCGTAATGCTCTATCTATCCATTTGAATCAACCCACATTATTCAGTACTCCGCTAGCCGAGAGTCTGTCCCTGCATTGAACATAACGACAGAGCACATCGGTTTGTCACGGATACTAGGCAGATGTTGTGACTGTGGTACACAATGTACCTGAGTCAATGATTATTGGTGTTTAGAATATATTTGCGTATGATAGAACAAAGCAAACGAGAGTTTACATGCCCGATGAACATTACAGTACAACAACTACTAAAGCAACAAGCAAAATGGCAACGTAACGGCGAAGCCGAACGCAAGACAACGAAGCACAAAAGATATAGCGGCAAATACCAAAGCCCGAATGCAAAACAACGCAACAATCAACAAGAACCGAGCAACGTGGGCGTCGGTAGCCGTTCCTGACGCAGACTTAAAGTTTAGCTAATCGGAACTATCATAGGAATTCTTTAACAATGTTAAGAGCCTCATAGTTTTCCCATTCATTCGATGCCTCCGCAATCCTAACAAATCCCTGCCACTACTGAAGAGCCGCTCACAAGCAACTTCAGATGCTGGCAATGGCAAGAAATCCCGAGCAGCTCGCGCCATTTGCGGATACTCTCCTTTATGGGCGTTCCACCACTCAAAAAGCCAGTTCTCCTTAGCGCTGTTATTGCGACGCTAATAATACCGTCATCAAAATACCGATCAATGTCGGAAACATGCTTTGACGGAGCATGTAGCTTCTGCAAAAGCCGCAATTCTGTTGAACAATTGGCTTCGTGAGACGGCGATAAATGTGACGGTTACTGCGGCTCGTTCTCAGGGGGATAATGGAGATGCAGAAAGTCTCTCAATTGAGTAATGAGAAATGAGGCTGCCACGTCGTCCTCAAGCTCCTGCTTTAAGAGCTCACATTTGAACCGAGGATCAAGAATCATTGCAATATAGTAAGTATTGACCTCGTCCACAAAAGCAAAGTACTCGTACTTCCCTAGTCCAGCACGAACAGCACTCACCAACACTTGATCAGCGTCTTGGAGCAATCCTTCTCTATTAGAGGCATCTTGAAAGAGCTCCTCTAATTCGTAGTATAATGCTATCGAAAGACTGAGCTGAGGCTTACTGTGCGAAACTAATTGTGTAAACTCGTCAAATTTGCCGAGAATATCCCGTAATTGACGAAGTTGATTCCAATCCTGAGTCGTAAAAGCCGGTAGTCCCATTGATTCAACTTCCATAAAGCCTGTATGAGCCTAGACTTCCTTTCAACATCTGATACGTGGAATTCCATCGCGTGCTGACATAATACTGAATTATCGTTTCAGGAAGTTCCTCTAAACGACATAGTCTTTTCCATCGATTACGACGCTGAGGGCTGCGGTCTATCCAGAGGATAACTATACGCAGCCTAGCTAAAGGAGACAACTCGGGATCAAGATCCTTATTTGCTTTGAGACTTCAACGCGATAAGAATGTCACTAATCAAGTTTATCACATGTGCAATGCATCTAATATAGCTTAGATGTCCCTCACATCGTATACTAGGACCATCATTACCCAAAATATACTCTGTAGTATCATGTTGATCCAGGAGAATGGCATGCAACTCGGAGACAAAAAGTTCGTTATTAGAAGCAATATCTCCCGTGATCGTGAGAAGCTTTGGACCGAGTTTCAGCTTTTCAAGGAGGTCGGAGACCACTACCGCCATACTCTCTCCACTGTGAGTACCTTCGAGCTCTTTGAATTCGAGAACCCGTTCCTTATAGACAAATTCAGGTGTCAGCCAATGGCCCACGATACCAAGGATCGAGAGGTGATTCTTGCTGGTCCATACATCAAGCGATAAGCCTATTGTCGCACAGGTTGTATCAAATTCCTGCTTGAGATTCTCCCGACTCTCTTGAAATTTGGAACAATGCGGCGCTTCACTGCGCTTGCGGAATTGAAAGGCAGTGCAATACCGGGTAGATCTCTAAATATTCGTTGAAATGATTGAGACTCAATCGCCATAAATGGTTCCGATTCCTGGACAATCCAACGCAAGATATTCTCTTCTAGTCGCTCTTCAACTGAGTGAACAGGTTTGCTCAGAAACGACGTGATGTCGCTTGAAGCTCTAGGGGTAGACAATGGAATTGAAGTACCAGGCTTGAGTATCTTGTGCTGCGATAAGAGATGTACATTCAAATTTCCTGACGACCCTTGAAGAACTGCATCTGTAGTAGTCCAGGAACAGCGAGTACACAAAATCAGCCTATCTGGACGGCTCGTTTTGCTCGGCTTGTGGATATATGTTGTTTCGAGCTCGTTGTTTGGAAATGTTCCCATACCCACGAATTTGGTGGCATGGGCCGACTTCGAATGATTGGCGAGAAGAAAGATTGCTCTCCGCATCGACTGCAAGGACTTGCGACGCAGATTCATCAGGAGATACGATATCATGTGAAACTGTAGTCGACTGGCTCACATCAAGGCGACGACGAGAACGGGAACGTAAACCTTCGTCAGAGTCGCCTTCACTATCAGTACCCAAATTCATGGCATAATAATCCGGACGCTTCGTTCTAGAAGGGCGCCCTTGACCCTGAAACTGAACCTTTGCAAATCAAAATTGAAATCCATCGTATTAGGATACGAGAGTAGGATATAGAGATAATAGTACTATATGGACTGAACCTGTAGTCGAAATGAAAGGACATCGTAGGTCTATATATACATATGAGAACACCTCAAATAAGGAGGGACAGCACCGTCTAAACTTCTATCACTTCCGCCTCTCCTCACTGCATACGAATGTGCCAGAACGTTGGAAGTGAAGTTCCAATGCGCTAAAGCACAAATTACCACCCCTGACATGACACTATCCCCCAGAGCCGCAG